CCCCAGAAAAAGGGCCTTTTCCCCAAAACCTTCGCAAAATCTGTTGGTCGTCGCTTCACGCACTCCGATCACCTGAAGCAACACATGAAGGTGCACTCGCCCAACCGGCAGAAGAACATGTGCCGGCTATGCAATGCCCGATTTACCAGCTGCAACCTTCTTGGATCTCACCTGCGGACTCACGAAATTCACCAAATTCACCTGTGCCGTTGCTGTGGCGAGGGCTTCCCCACAGCAGAAGAACTTGACCAGCACAAGAAACTTCATGACGTCAAGGGAACGATACGAGCGAGTCGAGGCCGGCGTAATGCAGCCCACCACGTGGTTTCTGATTTAGACATTCTTTCTGCTGATGGAAGTGGCGATCTATCCCTAAGAGGGGACGCCCTGATTGAAAAGCCCAACCTCCAAGGTAGCAAGTGGATTGGTTGTGCTAGGTTTTGTCTCTCGCAGATCCCCGTAGAAAATAGCAATGGAAATGGGGACACCACCAGTGGAACCGGTGCAACAACTGACGGCGCCGATAACCCCGGCAACGCACTCAGTGACAATTCCAAACAACCATCTTCAGATCACGAGATAGAACCAGTGACGATTCACGAAGACTCTGGATCTCCTGACATCGAGATTCTGCCCGAAGATATGTCCAAGAATCGACAACCAGAGACAGACGAAACAGAAGAGAGAAATGACCCTAATGTTCGTCCCAAATATATATCCTGAAAAAAGATGATCCAGACAAATAACCAGGGTTGACAGAATCTTTATGGATAATAATTACCTTTCACAAACAATATTATTATTCATCCCTTCCATCTATCTAACCGTACGATTTTACAATCCGGCCCGGCAAATAGTTGATGGCCAATTATCCTTCATTCTGCAGGGCCATTTATATCTATCCTGGCCCTGATTAAAATGAAAAAAGAAAATATGGAACCGATTTTTAGTTTGTTTCCTCCATCTTCTTTAAATGCAAACCGGCTAAAATATCAAGTGTATATGTAATCCTTTTTTACGATTGGACCGTATTTCATTTTTACAATTTATAATGCGACTGATTTTGAGATGACGTTCAGCCGGTCGAATGATATAATTTTCACATGAGTTCGAACCCTCTGGGAACCTTTGGAACTATTTCATTTATTTGTCGAAGATTTTGCAATGTTCATGCTGTTCAAATTCTAAACTCTGCTGACGATGGTATCCATTCACATGCAAAAAATGCATGAAAAAATTTAACAACCGGCTAGAATTTAGAGGAAACCTAGTATGGCATTTTGAATCACAGCCCGATTAACTGTTGTGTGAAGGCTTCGTTGCAAGTATTATTGAATGGCATCGTCAAGATATTTTTTTTTTTTTTTATATATATATATATATTTTATATATATATATATGACCACATCCAGTCACATTTGGATCGGAAATTTAAAAATATTAATAATAATAATCAAACCGTCGACGAGATCTGAACTCGTTTACCATAACTTAAAAAACTCCTCTTTGATGAATCTCCGTGGACAAGGTTTTTTTTTCCTTTTCTTTAGTATTTTTTTTTTTTTTTTTTTTTTTTTTTAGGGATGGGTAAATTAAATTTTTTGTTTTTTTTTTAATCATGTCCAGCGTCTTTCTTGGATTAAATTTTCTTTTGCCAAATGATCCGAGACACCGCCATTCTTACCACGAGGTGTTTCGTCCTCCTTTGTTTAAATTAATTTTAATGTTGACGCCGGTCGGCAGAGTCGCGATCGAAAATACCGATGGATAGCCCGGTCTGAATAAGCCGACAAAGGATAAAATGTCGACGATTATTAATATTGGGCGAAACATTATGACTATGGTAATGGTTGTTGTTTTTGTTGTTGTTTTTGCACCTGATCATATCAAATGTATGTGATAATTCATCTGACACGACATATTTTTTTTTCCTAGAAATGGATTTTTTGAGTTAAATGGGAAGTTCAATTGGAATCGAGGCCGTGACTCTAGTTTAACATAAAATTGTACGAAAGCCATATATATGGAGGTCATATCCAACGTCGAGACCACTGCTAAGTTGAATGCAACATTTATTAATTTTAATATATTTATAGCTCTGTTTTAAATCAATCATCATTTTATAACAAAATGAATTGATATACCATGTAATGTGCAGGTAATTCGACTGTCGATTAGTTGTCTTCTACCCATTGTTTGTATGGACGATATCCAGAATGTGTAGAAAATATATATATTACTGGATCCACACTGGCAAAGGCTATCCAAGTAGGTTCTTTTTAATATAAAATACTGGACAGATAGATCCGTAGAGAGCCCAAATCTGTGAATACAGTCTGCGAAGATAACAACATTGGAATGGAAATAAAAATACTAACATGAGCAGAAGTTTCCATTGGAAAATAACTAGAAAATAAATAATAATTTCTAACATTTCTACGATTCCATATGATTTTATTTGTGATCAAATAAATCATGATTTAATAAGTATTTTCAAACCCTCGAGCATTTCCTTTACATATATATGTGTGTATCATTGAATCGTGGATTCATAGAGAGCTATTTCATTAAAGTTTTTAAGTGTTTGTGATATGCTTTGTGTGTGTCGTGGCTGGTGGATTATATGACAGAGAGTCCGTTAAATTTGATCAAGTGCTCGAAATCCTGACAAATCAACGATTTTTTAATTTGGGCCGTGTTTTTTGGTCGAAGCTGTACATTCCGAACAGAAGGGTTTTATTTTTGCTCAGAAAGAAAACGGAAGTTCAGGAATTGACTGAAGACGCTTTATAATCATCCATTACAAACAAGTCTTTCAAATTAATTACACAAAATAAAACTTGCGCCCTTAAAAAAAAACACTAAAATTATTATTAGAAAAAAGATATTTCTATTCTGTTACAGTCGATGAAACATGTATAAAAGAAAAATTCTCCCATTATATATATATGATGTATCTATGAAGTTTGTTAATTCAAAGGACGACAAATAATTACAAACCTAAGAGGTATATATTAATAAATACAATATTAAGAGTTAGTCGATAGCAACGAAAAGAACATACTTTTAATCCTCAAATTTCTTGATTAGAATGGCAAAACATAATTTAAATTTAATTGTTTTTAAATTCCTTTTCTCCTCTGAGAGCTTGACATCTATAATGTACTGTGCACTGGGAAAATCTGCATGCAGTTCCCCTTATTTCACATTCAGCTTTCACCAGATCCTTTCATTTTAAGTAAAAACTATTTTTCCCATTTTAGACGAAACAACAGTCCACTTTAGGAGATGCACCTGTGGACATAAGTAATTTGAATTAAAACCATTCATTTTCATATAGGCGGACCCGATTTCACATCAGTTGTTTAGAAATTTCCTTTATTTCCATTGGTATATTCCTGTTTCTTGGCTCGAACTAGCCTTTGAAACACAACGATTTAGATATTTCCGCATCATCAGATCAAGAAAACAATTTGGGCTGTTAAAACAGTTTCTGTGGATCGAAGTGGTACTTTCTATATAGTTGGTCGCAGCAGACCAGCGCTGGCTGTCACGACGTTTTAACGGACGGCTAAGACTTCTAACTGATCCTAATTCCACCGATGAATTTCAGGGCTCAAAAAAACGGACATATGTATTATACTCCTGCCTATATATATATAGCATATATTCATAATGATAAACCCTTACAACGGACCAATATGCGGCGTCCCCGGTGTCGCTGCGTATGATATCGTCTAAAACCGTGCTGTCGTTCTTGTGGGCTATAAAGTCAGCCCGTCTGTCTGGTTAACCTATAGTCTTGAAGAGACGTCCAAGTGACTTAATTGGTATAAATATTCAAGTTCAATTTCGAACTTCGTTAGCGGAAAGAAGTTTCGTGACACTTTGTGTTTGTTAGGCGGGTCTTAACATCTTAAGTTGTTTGTTCTTTAAGAAACTGGTTCTTGGTGTATCTTCAGGCGATATTCGTAAAACTTGTTTTGGTGGTGTGAGTCTAAGTCGTTCTTCAAAAATAAATTGTTCTTGGTTAGAAGTTGAGTTCGGAATTTGCGTGAATCTTAGTCAGCTTTCTGCGAGGCGGGTCGACTCAAAGCTCGAACTTCACTCAACTGTCTCTCAACTCGAACTTAACTGGAACTGGAACTGATTTTCACTCGCTGCGACTCTGCTTATATGGACGCCGACCAAAACCGGGGTGGGCTTGTCGTGGTTTGAGGTTCCTTGATAATTCTAAATCCACAATCCACTTCTTTGTTTTCGGTCAGGAAAATTTATTATTTTCCATTTTTGGAAGTCTTTTTCGTTCCATATTGGTATCTCACCCTCAGAGGGTGTCTCCTGTTCTCATATTGGTATCTCACCCTATCCTTCATGGGGCGTTAACAGGCCTCCCCTCCTTTTCACATGATTACCTTCGCCTAACGCTCACGCCACCATTCAGCCAATGGGCGCCAGCAGTGTGGGTGTGGCCAGACTAGCCTCGGTTTAAAAATCTTGCTCAAAGAAAAAAAAAAAATTATCTTTTTTCTTTTTCTTTTTTCCTTCCTTCCCTTCTGCCCGACAACAAACCTTAGACTTTGTCTTAACCGAATCACCTGGAATTCGTCAACGAGATTTTCGCCAATCATCAAGTGGGTGGTCAATTGGACGTATCGCACTCTGTCGCTAATTAACTGTTCCGATAAAATAATTTTGCTATCATAGCCAGCCCTGACAATAAACAGATGCTCCTCTCAATGATATTCTGCATATAGACAAAGGCTTAATCTTTCCTTCATGGTGGTCAATGGACATTTTTTTTTTCGGTCAGCGCATGACCTATTTAATTTTTATCTCTTTAGAATTCTGCGGGAGGTCACTTGTCCAACTTGAAATTTTTACCATTGCCATGGGCAGATTGGATATATCTTAATCGCCGCCCCGTAACATAAATCAGATTAAATCCAGTATCTTACTTTCTCGACAATGAAAATAAAATTTTACCACTTTTCTTTGTTAAAAAAATAACATCGCTTAGTGTCCTTTCGTGATCACTTCTTATCACCTAAATTTAATTCTCGCCTTTTCTTTTTTTTTTTTTTCTTTCTAGCAAGCTAAATAGTGTCACAGTGGGTTAAGTATCTTTTTATTTTCTTCTCTGTTCCCACAAAGTTCATTCCAATTAACTTTTCTTTAATTTTCCCTATTTTAACTTTCATATATGTAGCTACTTATGCACAGAGATGCAACACGAATATGATTGAGTAAAATAAAAATTATACAGTTTTCCCAAATCCACCCGTGTGGTGCTCTGGGAAAAGTTGCTCCATATTTTGAATGGCCAAGCATCAGAAATGTGTTAAATCAATTCTGTGCGTGAATAGAAGATATAAGAGAAGTGCTAGAAATCAAACATATTCTGCATTCAAATTCTTTGTGTTTCTCTAAAACACTATCAGCATTAAAGCTATTTTGAGGAATAGCTTATATGAATATCTCTTGCTGATTTTCAAACACTGAATTGCTTACATTGAAGAAATGGAATTCCAATCACACCTATTTCTCTTCTCATCTAGGGGCATATCTTTGTGGCTCTGATTTGTTTATCTAATGTCAGATGAGAGAAAAACTTTGAAGGCATTAGCTTTGAATAACCCTGGATTACTTGAGGTACCTATTACCTATTGAGGTAACTATTGATGTAACTATTAACTATTGAGGTAACAATTCTACAATTCTTC